TTCTCAGGAAACTTGTCCTTGAAGACAGGAAGCACCAAATCTGAAAACTTGTGGCAAGGGACGTAATTCTTGTAAAAATAGTTTATTACACCAAATGTCGTGTTGTGTACCATGGATGGATCCCTGTGTCAAAAACACAATCATGGTGAAGACATCTTCCCGAGGCAAGAGAGTTAACTGACTTTAAAAGTCCAGTTTCCACCCTTGCCGAACTAGGCTGGAATTCCTGGGCTCGATCGTAGCGCCACCAGTGGCTATTGCGAGTTATGTCCTTTCTATGCCTCTCCTATTGACCAATCAGATTCAACCTCTCGTACCACTTGCATTTGCCTCAAACAAAACGTAGGCGCCCAGTCAAGACGATCTGATTGATAATCAAGATCTATATTGAGAGTCTTACATCGCGAAGTGCATCATATCACGTGAGCACCTTGATTAAAAGCATGAAAAGATTTAGAAAATATCTGTTGACAACGAGTTAGCGGTGCACATGCTTTGCAAATCCTGCAGTCGACCGAAATCTGCATGAAACTTTACGAACCGGATTTCGATTTCGGTGCGCGATTTTGATTGGACTATGCATAGACTCGTTAGTCCAGCCAAAATGTAACTCCATAATACCAGCCTAGTTCGGCAAGGGTGGAAACTAGACTTTTATAGTCAGTTAACTCACTTGCCTCGGGAAGATGGTAATAAAAGGATCGAGCCACTCCATCATGTTGCTTAAGATACTGTGTTTGTGCCAAATTCTGATTATCCGGTGACAATGTGTTAAACTCATTGCATATTATTATTATTATTATTATTATTATTATTATTATTATTATAATGTACAGATTAAAATAAAAAATGCAGCAGTTTGGGTGATCCTTGCACAGTTGGTTAGGCTCATCATCAGCTCAGGGCCCTTGCCCCCTCTACACGCAGCCCAGACAGCGAATGGGACTTCTCCCAGGAAGCGCTGTCTAGTCAAACCCACCCAAAACTTTTCGGAGAATGTGAAGACTCCCCAACACTGCAGCCTTCTGCATTACCCAGATTGTCAGAAAGGCGGTATTACCGGTAGCAAACCCTGGTAATCTCCTAATGTCAGTCAACATATTGGGAGGTACCAAACCTAAGGCACCGAGAACAATGGGGAGTCGGACAACTTGGTACTTGGAATGCAAGCGTGACATTTCGAAAGCGAGGTCCGCATATTTGCCATGTATTTTCCGCATGCAACCATGTTCTATACTGACATCCTGTCTGTGCATGTACCAATATAAACAGCTGACAACCTGCGTGTGTACATGTACCACTATATACGTTATGTATTGAGACCCATTGTGTACGTGTACCAATATTTACGCGAGCAATTTTATACGAGCACCTGGTGTGTTTATATTTAACACTATGGATATCTACGTTGTAAGATGACACGCTGCATGTACATGTAACTATATCGAGGCTTGGTGGTGTGTTCTCGGATGCCGAAGTCATACTATATCAACTGATGATCATTATACTGAGACCTGTGAAGATCCGGGTTAGAATAGGTCTTCAGCAAACCATGCTTGCCGTAAAAGGCGAATATGCTTGTCGTAAGAGGCGACTAACGGGATCGGGTGGTCGTGCTCGCTGACTTGGTTGATGCATGCCATCGTATCCCAATTGCGTGGATCGATGCTCATGATGTCAATCACTGGATTGTCTGGTCCAGACTCGATTATTTATAGACCGCCGTCATCTAGGTTGAATATTGCTGAGTGCGGCATTAAACAAGAAATAAACAAAATCATTATCCTGAGTTCTGTACCCTTCTGAGTCTTGTTGACGACTCAAACATGAATTTCTACAGAGAAGATGTTGATGGACAATTATTGGGTGGTACCAGATTAGTGACGTCAGAGTTCAAATGCATTGTGAGAAAAATCTGGAAGTAAAATCTAGATATGTTGTCAACAAGAATGAGTTAAAGAAGGCAGTCTGGAGTTACGATTTCATTCTCTTATTCAGAACTTTGAAAACTTTGCGAAAATTCCAATAGTTCTTTTCGACTATCATTTTATGTAGGACCTTCTCTCTGTTAACCACAGCCTGCTTTGCTACCGTGTCTCATATTTGCAGTTTCCCTTGAAGCATCGGCATACATCACTGCGAAGGATGCGACGTTAATAGTTACGTCTGCGGAGGTTTTCAATCATTACTCCTGGCCAGGTAAAAAAATCATTGCTGGCAATGAGGATATTGGAACTTTCCTTGTCCGGCAATCAAAGTCTATTTTGACAAAGCCAATTTGTGGTGAGGTCAGTTGACATGGGGTTTAATATTAGTTCACTTAAATGGCGAACAGCCGTTCAGAGACGGCTTATTCAGTGGCGGTCTATGCCGATGCTTGTTTGTCTGCTCCCAGGTTTTATTCATTATCAATGTTAATGTTATATGTTATATTGGTCACGTGACTCGGCCGTACACGTCAGCTCAATTGTTCATCTGCCCTTGTCACAGCTATTCGTGCGGATTGGTGAGATACCACAAGGGCCAATGATGAATGAGGACAGGACATTGACTTTGTCAGATGTTTGTGTCACTGCACAAGCAGTTTAACATAAATACCCCACTCAGACACAGTATACTTACTCAGAGCCGACTAGTCCTTGTTTTAACCCCTTAATGCCGAGTACCAGGCGTAGTAACAACAAGTGCCATCCTTTAAACGTATTTTGGTATGACGCGGCCGGAGATCGAAACCCCGACCTTCCTCTCTTCGGGGGGACGCTCTACCACTCGATCACTGTAACACAGTGTGCTAGCACTATAAATCGGCATCAGTCCGGAGTAGTAAAAGCACACACACACACACACACACACACATACACACACACACACGCCACCTGCAAGAAGACTCGTCCCCCTATCGATGAATGTTATGTGCGAAAATACGACAAACCAATCAGAATGCGCGTATGATTTCAAGTTCTTCGTCAAAGAATCCCTCAGAAATGATTTTATATATGTCTTGCGTCTTACAATATACCCAAGACACAGTTAAATGTGTTCAATCATACTGAATACTTCCGCATGTCCCGATGTGCTGTAACTTGCATCTGAAATATATATAATATATGGGGAAATATATGTGAACCATCACGCAACGAGTTGACAATTGTTTTATGTATGCAAGTTTGCGCTAAGACGGAACCCGGTCGCAAAAATGGTCATGACAGGGGCACGAGTCGCTATTCGGCTTGTCCCGGAATAACACGAGTTGGTCACGAATGATATATAATGTGTTGAGGCTTTGGAAACGTGCTGAACGTATACGTGCCATAGCCATGTTGCAGGTGGGCGCATATTGTTGCCCAACGCTGCATGTCTCTCAATCTGTCATCAGCAGATTGTGGGGCACCAACAAACACATAACGTCGATGATCGATGCCGCTCTGGACGCTCAGGCGAAACAAAACAAGCCCAAGACCGATTGTACCATTGCACAACGTGTTGGGCAACGTTTCATCTTCAAGATGATGATGCACGTGCTCATCGTGCCAGAATTGTACCCCAATTCCCCCAACAGCAAAACATCCACGTCATGCCATGGCCAGCACTTGGCCCTGACCTAATCATTACAATATAGGCCCGGTGCACAATTAAGAGACGTTACAGCGAATAAGGTGTCTCGCTTGCATTGTGTGTGAATGATGCAGCAACGTACATTGCTTTGATTTTCTGAACAGGCATAAATATAGCAGGGTAATCTTTTTCAAAGACATTTTCACAAATATAGTTCCAAAAATGGCAAGCAAAATAATTTATTTACACCCTAGGCTATTTTGTTTTGAATCGAAACTACAGGAAAATAAACAAAAGTCTGGCAATGAAAGTAAGTGATTTGTGTACCAAGAACAAACGTCAATTTCGAATTTGACCCCGATCCCTTTAATGACCTTGTGCGCCATCATGCCATCACACCATCCATTAGAACCCATTATATCTGATCGCCTACACCACACTAGATGTGATCATGTCAATTCAATTTTCCAATACCATATAGATCAGAATATATTCTTGATGTTTCCCACTATCCCTGCACAGTACAGAACTCTACATAAACTTATTACTATCTCTTGATCATGTTTCGTTACATGTCACGAGAGATGTGAAGTCTGGTCATTCGAAGGATTCTTACAATGCTTCTTTACGAGGATTACGAAAGGTGTGTGGCATAGGGGAGAGTGTGAGTGAGTAAGAGAGTTGTGTTTAACGCCGCTTTTAACAGTATTCCAGATATATCACGGCGTGTCAGCTTGTGGGAGGAAAGCACCAAGTGATACAGGTCTTAGACGTTCACCACTTCGGGGAAACTCACGGGCACGGGTATCGTGCTGACAAACCTAGAAACATAATCGGGGCGAACCGGGATTCGAACCCACAATCATAGATTTCTGGCGTGCCGAAGGGACGCAACTCTGCACAGCGAACTGCACCGCCTTAGACGACTTGCCCACCCGTGCCCCCGGGAGAGTGTGACATAGTGATAACAAATATTATTTTTTTTAAATAAACAGCACACACTGGACAAATAGGCTTCGTGAACAGTACCGTTTATTTCTGCGGAACAATCAACAAGGATTACGTCAACACGTCATTATGGTACGGAACACGTTGGCTGATTCATGTAAGTATCCTACAGATTATCATGACTGGAACAACAACATGAAAGGGGCATAGTTTGCCTAAATCCTAACCAAAGATGCACATTCAGGCATATCACAGGATTTATATGACCCTATATTGTTCGTCGGTGGTAACATGAATAATGTGTAGCCCACGTCATACATAGAAGCCACACAAACAATTTGTAATCCTCATTGAAAATATCTTCATGTGGAGACTCAAATCAGTCAGCCCTTTTTTCATTGACAACTGAACATGTTTAGGAAACATATCGTTAAATTAGTTTTAACCAATAACAAATTAAAGAGGTGATAGAAAATGGATAACACACTATCACTAAAAGTAACTTAGAACAAACAGGAGTTTCATAAACCAGTATCGATGGCCGTTACAGGAACATGTTTACAAGAACTGAGACGAACAGTGACGTCATCGCAAAGGTCACGTGATCCGCGGCACCTGTAGGGATGAAAATGAATGGGCCTTGTCTTAAATGTAACACGTGATACAGGGCAGGTAACAGCCCTTGCTAAGCAATATCATATGGTAATGATTAACGAGGTCTCTGTACGCTATGCGGGTAGAAATTGACCAAAAGGAATCTCTGAGGTGATTAGGTGAGTAAGTTACTGATGTTGGTTTATTTACACATGAAATACCTGGTGGTTGAACACTGTTATAACACCGGTCTAATGTACAGATGCAATGGTAATGTATACGTACCCATTCTCTATAAATGGGTAAGAGCGATTGAGTATGGTTTTACGCCGCTTTTAGCCATATTCCAGCAATATGACGGCAGGGGACACCAGAAATGCGCTTCACACATTGTACCAATGTCGGGAATCGAACCTGGGTCTTCGGCGTGACGAGCGAACGCTTTAACCACGAGGCTACCCGACCGCCCCATAAATGGGTAAGAGAACAGCCATACTTACACGTGGCTATCTTGGTGTTAGTGTCATTTAAAAGGGTTGCCTGTGTGTCAGTGGCACACCCGAGCTCGTCAGTGGTGTTGATGGCTGAAAGACAGGTCCTCAGAGTGGTCAGTACACTGTTAGAAAAGGAAACATGAAAACGATTATTCTTCCCTCATAAAATGTCTTTTTGCAAAATTTCTTCCAACTTAAACGCATGTAAATGTCAGAGTGAATGAGTAAAGACTGATTCTCGCATTGTCAAAATCCAGGTAATATGGTGACGAAAGTAAGACACACATTCACAAACATGTCCAGTCCTAGATTTACAGGGATAGGTGTATCTACTCGGCGTTTACTAAAGTGACCTCCTTGTAAAAATCATAGTTTTTCTTCATATATTTCTGATATCTATTTAATAGATATACACGGGTGGGCCCACTAATTTCTGATATCTATTTTACTAAACGGAAACGGAAAGTAATAGGTTGTAAGTGTGATCATTAATTTCATTATACATTGTATATTATAGGAAGGTCAATCTATATCCTGAAGTGGAAACATGGAACATTCAGACTTCAGTTGATCTCCCGAACACCATTCCTCCACGAATCAATAAATGAGTATATGTAATTTATTTGATAGTGCAACTGAAATATTCTTTGGAATGTATAGTGTAAACCTTTTTGTTGATTGTACAAATATTCCTCGGTCCTTCTCTTATGACGTGACCATGGTACCCAAAGTTAGAAAACATGAACCTCTCAGACATCAGTTGATATCCCGAACACCTACCCTATACCAGTATTTGTTTTGATAAGTGAAACTCTGTAAAATATTCTTTGCAATGCACAATGTAAGCCATTTGATGATTTTCAAATATCCCTCGGTCCTTCTCTTATGCTGCGTGTATTCGTGATGTGGTACCCAAAGTTAGCATGCAAAATTAACATTCAGTTAATGATAATTACAATACCAAAAATTATTGATGCCATGTAATGTCAGAGTACCCCCCGTTTTCATAACAAAATGCTATTAGAGACTCACCATGCCCAGACCAGGGCCGTGAAAGCATTGGTATTCTGCAGAACCGGGTAAAACACTACGCTTTGCCCCTAATATTAAAGGCATAAACTCCAAGGAACCAATACAGGTAGGTACGTTTACTCATACTGTGTCTGAAATGACATCCACTCACCTGGAAGTAAACAGTGCCGCTTAAAAAAATTGATTTTATTAACCGCCGTGTTTTGACAATGAACTAACTTTAGCTTAACTCACGTGCACATTTTGGCATCACTGGCAATGTCTGCTTTAGTAGCATTAATCTCACATTGGCAGGTGGGGGTGACAGCTAAAAATAGATAACAAGATGATATTGAAAATTTGAATGAGTCATCAAGATAATCTAAGCATAGTAAGTTTAAAATAAATGGTTTGTGATTACGATGAAGCTACTTTTCGTTGCTATACTTATTGTAGGTATTCGTATATGTTTACGTGTAAGTCAACCTCAATGCCGTTCTGCTATTGGTTCAGCGCGGGATTAAATGATTCAATGTATGGTGAAATAATTAAGCTAGATGATTTTTTGAACATACGACAGGCTGTGCTTCCCAGATCTTTTATCCTGGTCTCTACGCCAGTAGCCAGAGCTGTTACAGTAGTGGAACCATCACAGGCCTTCTTTGTCTTCCACTTCAAGCACGCAATGTAAGCAGTGGTGGCGCTATGAATATTACAATGTCAACTTGACACATTTGTATTTGTTGACATAAATACTGTAAGAAAATACACGAGTGAACCCACTAATTTCTTATATCTATTTACTAGATACACAAGGGCAAACCCACTAATATCTGTTACCCATTTACTATATTTTCACGGGTGAACCCTCTAATTTCTGTCACCTTTTTTACTAAATATACAAGGGCGAACCCACTAATTTCTGTCACCTATTTTACTAGATATACAAGGGCGAACCCACTAATTTCTGTCACCTATTTTACTAAATATACAAGGGCGAACCCACTAATTTCTGTCAACTATTTTACAAGATATATAAAGGCGAACCCATTAATTCCTGTCACCTATTTTACTAGATGTACAAGGGCGAACCAACTAATTTCTGTCAACTATTTTAACAGATACATAAGGGCGAACCCACTAATTTCTGTTATCTATTTAACTAGATATACACGGGTGAACCCACTAATTTCTGTCAACTATTTTAATAGATACATAAGGGCGAACCCACTAATTTCTTTTATCTATTTTACTGGATATAAAAGGACAAACCCACTGGCTTCTGTTACCTATTTCACAAGATATACAAGCTCGAACCCACTATTTTCTGTTTCCTATTTCACTAGATGTACACGGGCGAACCCTCTAATTTCTGTTATCTATTTTACTAGATAGACACGGGCGAACCCACTAATTTCTGTCACCTATTTTACTAGATATATGTTATCACGAGTTTATATGTTATAGTGCCTTTCAACACCATCTCACCATCATGTTATATTAGCAGAATTGTCACTTTGTTTGAGATATCTAACAGCATAGAGTGATTACCTGCACTTGGTAGCATTAGTATTTTGATTCGTCTTCCAGAAGTCTTTCTGACATATACAGGTGTTCGTAAAATCTGCCTCTATAAAATAAAAAAAAAACATCACTCAAAGTACATTTCAAATCATTATGTGCCATCATCAACCTCTCAGACCTCGACCTCATCCTCCCTTCCTCGTTCACCTCCCAGGATGTGACTAAATATGTATACGTAGCATGCTTACACATGTACATAATATAAATAAAGCTACAAAACCCTTTCCATATCCAATAGAAATTTCTGCATAAAGCAGGGTCAATTGTACGATTCCGACTATATCATGAGCATGCGTTTACGAATCACTATCAAATAGTAATGTTACCAGGTGTTCGCGAAAAGGTGAGCCACCAGTGGCACCCATCACAAACACATGAAAAAACACGGGAACATATGGTACAAGTCAAAATGGGGAAATGCATCGGACACCATTTTTGTCAACGATGCGTCAAATTTGGAAATGTGCTCAACATGTCTTTTGGTAGCTTTGAAAGCTTTACTGATGCCTTGAATGTTGTACGCTTGATCGAACAACTTCTGAGCAAGAGTCGTAAGACGCTCTTTGAAATCTTGGTAGAAAGAGTATGCTCGATTGTATCGCAGAAGTTGTGAAATGTAAACACCAAAGGCTGAAGCTGCTGGAATATTGCTCGATATGAACGGGAGAGTGTTTTGTACTTTTTGGTCTTTATGAAACAGATGAAGTGGTCTCAATGGTCTCCTTTATTTTAATCAAGCAAGTATTAAGATTTATTATTTTGGTAGATTAAAAAGCTACGCGATAAATCGCAAAGAAACATGAAGAACGAACGTGATTTATTTCACGATAAAACATTGTTCTATCATGACGTCGTTTCTGGACATTCGAAAATGCGCTTGCAACTTGACGGACGACGCTATTTTTTAGAGGCAACTGTCTAGTGAGTTGTCCCCCATAGATGTAGCTGGGCAACGCAGATAAACGCATTGGCCGAACGATCGCATCCGAAAGGGGGAGAGATATGACAATTGGTAATGGGAGATAAGTTACAGATAATCGTCGTGAAAATTGTGAGAATATCTGTGAAATACCAAACGTTACTCCTCTGTTCATAAAATGGACTTGTTCGACATTGTTTATTGTTTATTTCTTAAATATTTTCACATACCCGTACTACAATTAGCTGAGGTGAAATCAGTCTCTGTGGCGGTAGCATTAGCAGGTGGCAGCGGACACCCGTCGTCACCTTTCCCTGACCCCTCCAGACAGGTCAAATATGTCACAAGGGCACTGTGAAAGAAATAATATATTCGCATTTGAACACCACAATGTTCCCATGACAAGTATTTTAAATAGACATGTATCCCTTAACTATACATGATTATTGTTCAAACGCGTCATCTGCTATTGGAAATCTCCAACTACTTTTAAAGGTAAATATGTGATATGTTACCCGCTATTTAACTGTCCTTCATCGAGAGGCTTTTAATACACAAACAACTATGATATTTACTTTTCTATAACGTGGTTAAAATAATGCTGGCAGTGCAATGCTGTGCATGGCACAACATATCACAACAGGACAACTTGAAAACACAAGATGTGACAATTATGGATGACCACAATTTACTGCTTTTAACTTCGATGACTTTGCTGACTATGAGCTCAGTCTCATATATATGAGCTCATAGTCTTACCAAGTTGTGATCAGACCCTTGCGATAATACATGTTAACGTTTGCTGAATTCCCCTAAGGAACATTCAGTTCTTAATGATCACACGTGCTTTTGGTAGACATGTTGTTGGTTTTATGGCAAAAATGATATTTGTGAATCAGATATTAAATCGGAAGATAAAGTCATTAATAATCCTGGGTTTTTAAAAAAAATATGTTAAGAAACTCCGCACCGAGCAATATTCCAGCCATTTTATGGTGGCCTGAAAATAGTCGAGTCAGGATCTGACAATCCAGGCCAATGTGAGCAACGGGAGCAACGGGAGCAACATGCCACGCTGTCGGGGGACGATGTCTCACAATCAACCACATCACCGAATTTATTTCGTCGCCTCACACATACTGAGGGATCCCCACATGGTGATATACATGATGTGCGATATCTGATCACTAAGAAACAGTGAACGGTTTGTGAGTTCCGGAAACAACCACTAATCTCATTTGAAGTCGAATTTGTTACTGACCCGTGCCAAAATAAATGCTCTGAAATACATTTCCCTCATGATGACTGCATGTATGTTAGATCTGGGGAAGAATAGTCTTCAGCAACCCATGCTTGTCGTAAGAGGCGCCTATGCTTGTCGTAAGAGGTGACTAACGGGATCGGGTGGTCAGGCTCGCTGACTTGGCTGATGCATGTCATCGTATCCCAATTGCATTAATCGATGCTCATGATGTCAATCACCGAATTGTCTGGTCCAGACTCTATTATTTACAGACCGCCGTCATCTGGGTGGAATATTGCCGAGTGCCGCGTTAAACAACAAACAAACATTCAAGTCTTTCAAGACGACCATGCTCCGGTTCATAGAGCAAATAGTATTAAAAAAAACTTCATTGTCGTCACTGACATCAATAAGAACTGAATGTGATCGAACATGTATTGCTTAAATTGCAAAGTAAAATGCAAGAGCTCGTTAGTGACGAGATGTTCGAGATGATACATACAGCCTGGCTTGTAAATGAGTTTGACTATTGTCTAGGACTTTTCAATTAAATTCCACGTAGGATGGCGCAAGTTTTGGTTATGAAGGGCCATCAACAAATGAGGAAAAACTGTTTTCTGTTGATATATGAACATTTTAAAGCGGACTGTAACCGAACAGCCGCCGTATTAAATCATACGATTATAATCGACAAGAGTCTTTACCTTGCAAACGCAAAATAAAATGTGTATCAGTTTTAAAAAATCCTGAATAGTACATGGCACCAGTAACGGTTCAGCATTTGCCTTATGTGCATACAATATTTCAAGACAAATGATCAGTTGACCAGTGCATGAGTTATAAGCTAGAGAAACGACCCATAACCCAATTTGACCCTAAGTGCATCTCGCAACAATGAAAAATTAAATTATTATAACTCTTTAATTGGAAAGTTCAGTTGATGCCCGATGTGCAAACAAAATATTGAACGGTTTCTTAGTTAATGTTCAGGAAAAGAAACGTGACGGACAGTATGTGACAATATCAATTAGATATATTATGACTTACGTGCAATTCTGTGTATTATTAGTGGCATTATCTCCAGCAGACGTATACGTACTTCCACAAACATCACAGGTGGTTGCAAACGTTTTATGGCTGTAACCTGAGAACAAAACGAAAGTGAATTTAGTCGTGAAAGGATGCCTCCAAACCGCAGGTGGAAAGAGAGAGAGAGAGGGAAATGGGGACAGAGAGTGGAAAGAGCTAGAAAGACACAGATAAGATGGAGAGAGACTAAGAGAGAGAGAGGGAGATTGACAGAGAGATAGAGACAGGGGAGGTGGAAAGAGGGAAAGAGAGATAGTGGAAAGAGCTAGAGAGACAGGAAGAGGGAGATGGAGAGAGAGAGAGAGAGAGAGGGGGGGGGGGAGAGGGAGGGAGGCCAAACAAGGTGTCCCAAGGGATGACATGCAAAATGAGTCCGGAGTTGTGAGTTATTTCCTCCAGATGTCATTACGAAGATTACAATGAAAATATATTCCATTTCACGTGGCGTACACGATAAAACACGAGGCATAACAAATTTACAATTCCACACAAGTTAAATATATTTGTGAACAAAAGCTACAAAACCCTTTCCATATTCATATGAAATCTCTGCCAAAAACGGAGTCGATTGTACGATACCGACTTTATCATGAGCATATGTTTATGTGATGATACAAGTTGCATTGTTTGCCAAAATATGTTTCAGTTTGTACAGATGTGAGGCGAATGTTGTATGGTAGCTCCCCACACATGTTGGTCCGTAAAGTCTGTTTCATGCCCGAGTATGAAATTTCTAAATCAACATATGTTTGAACATCAAATAAAAGAAAAATGCATTTCTGTCTGAAAGCGTTTCACAATGGAAATAGTGTGTCTGTCATAGTCGAAAGCATGCGTATTACAGAGTTTCCATTCTTTGCAAGTTTACTGCTTGATGAGACTTTCACACTAGGTTATAAAGAAGGTCGTTATTCCGGATGCACAAAGCTAATTGCGAAAGTATATTGCTTGTTAATGTCATATGAATTCTCTTGTAACGGGACATGCATCTGTTATTTGATACATTTGTGAACCATAATTGTTCTTCGTATTTGCATATAGTCACATTAACAAGATTGCTCCATTTCAATTTTGGAGGGAAAGTATCGTATGGAACATATGTACAAAGGTTGATAACTGTATTTGTCAAGTGTTGATATAAGTTCTCCACATATTGTCTTTGATTTGACAGGGCTTGCAATATATTTTTGCAGAGTTTTTACAGTTCAGGTTGTATAAACGACGAAGAAATAAAATTGTGAATTTATCAATATATGCAGTAATTATCCAATGTCCAAGAATCGCTATAGTGGAATCTATAGCATAACCACCCTATTCTATCGAATGCTTTTTTCATTATCAATGAAAGCAGCATAGACACAGGCGTCCCTTTGTATGTAATAATAATAATAATAATAATAATAATAATAATAATATATGCATTTGTATAGCGCAGCATTCACTGTGCATAAGTGCTCTGTGAGCTAAGTCTGAATTTCTTCGATCAAAGTAAATACTGACGTAATAGTTCAGTGTTCTTTTCTAAAACCAAACAGTTTGTCTTCTAGACGTTTGAGCAGTACTTTTTCAAAGAACTTACCAAAACATGATGTTGAAGTAATACCTCTATAATATCGATCATCAGATTTCTCATTCTTCCCCTTATATACTCAACAACAAAAGTTCCTGTGAGACATATTTTTTTGTAGTTTTCAAACAAGCAAAGCTTGGTTTTCAATATTGTAGTACATGTATGGAATTAAGTCACAAAAACGCAACTGCTACAGAAAAGCATGCATTCCATGCAAAAGTTGACTTTTATGCAAGCCCCATGCATTTCACTACCCAAGAATGGGCATAAAAACATTTATATGATTCCATATGCATTGTTTAGCATCATGCTGAGAACAACCACTCAGAAAAACAACAAAATTACGCAATTATTCAACGTTACGAAATACCACGCCTGTCCGAAAATGAGCGTCTGCGAGCCATTGGTATGCTTGAAGCAGGATCGAGTCAATGTGATGTTGCAAGACAATTTAACGTCCACAGAAACACCATTTGGTATTTATGGCAACGTTGGCAACAGACGAATGCAGTCACAGACCATCCTAGGAGTGGCAGGCCACGCGTAACTAAAAATCGACAAGACAACTGGATTCGAACAACACACCTACGAAATCGATTCCAACCAGCAACAGTGACTGCAAGAAGTATCCCTGGCCTTCGACGAATATCTTCACAAACCGTACGTCGTCGTCTCAGATGTGCAGGGATTGTCGCCAGAAGACCCGCCAGACATCCCATATTGACAGGAAATCACCGTAAAGCATGTCTATAGTGGTGCAGACAGCGTCTACGCCGGACGGCCATGCAGTGGGGACAAGTTCTATTCACTGACGAGTCTCGTTTTCACCTCAGCCACAACGATGGACGGATTCGAGTGTACCGACGTCGAGGTGAACGTTACGTCAATCATTGTGTCATGGAAGAAGATCGCTTCGGGGGCGGCAGCGTTATGGTATAGGGGGTGATTACAGCAAGACAGAGGACCCGTTTGATAGCGGTAGAGGGAAATCTCAATGGACAGCGCTACCGCGACGAGATCATCGGCCCTGTTGTTCTACCGTTTTTGCGTCGTCATGGCCCAGGCATTACCTTTCAACATGACAACGACCGGCCTCCCTATTGCTCTACATGTTCAGGATTCCCTTCAATAAAACAACGTGAATGTCATCCCCTGGTCGGCTCGCTCCCCTGATCTCTCACCAATCGAGCACATGTGGGATGAGATGGATCGGCGCCTTCGACACCAACCACTTGTTCCATAGACACTCCAGGAACTCCAGCAGATATGGTCAGATATCCTACAATACTTTGTGCGACGCCTGGTCCATTCCATGAGACGAAGATGTATTGCATGCATCGCAACCAGAGGTGGACACACACGCTATTGATTTGTAAATTGACATTTTGGCATGTTCATTTTTTAATTTTTTTTTATGAAATCACACATTTTCTGAAGTCAGTATGGCAAATTAAACCATTTGAACACTTTATCTGT